TAAAGCACTCTGTCAGTTTTTATTATGAATTAATATTATTATGAATTGCTATCATGCTACGAAATTTTGAATTCCCCGATTTTTAAAAATCTTTATAGCCAAAACAAATTATCATACCTAGTAACTGACTTTATGCTTGTCACTAATAATAGCTTACATTTATCAGTAATTTACAGTTATAAAGAACTATACTATACATCATTTTGTTTGGGCTTCTTTATAAAACTATAAGATGGGTAGCTTAAGTTACATTGTCTCCATTTTAAAGATACAGAAAATAAAGCTTAGACAGATTAAGTGATTTGCCTGAGGTCATATAACTAGAAAGGGGGTTGAGCCCAGACTTGAACTCTGGTCTTCTGTCGCTAAGTCCAGTGGAATTTCTATGGTCTACATGTTGCTTTCAACATACCATGCACAAAACAGGACTTCAGCTTTTTTCTTTCTTCTTTCTTTTTTCTTTCCTTCCTCCATCCATCTTTCCTTCCCTCCTTCCTTTAACCCTCCCTCCCTCCCTCCCTCCCTCTCTTGCTCCAGTGAGAAGTGCAGTGGCCATTCACAGAACACCAGATCCCTTTGCTGATTACAAGAGCTCTTTGACATTCTTCTAACCTGAGCTGCTTTGCAGCCTAGCAGTCTCACACTTTGGGGCTCACCACATTGGTGCTGAGCTTACTTTGACACCTGATTCAGCTCAGAACTCTCAAACTCAAGTGATTCACCAGGCCCAGGCTCATGCCCAGCTTCAATTTCCTTATGTCTATTATGATGACCTATGTGTAAAATGGTGTTATTTAAGTATGTACTCCCAAGAATTCTCATTAAAGAATCCACAATGGAAAAAGCTGCAAAAGCAAATTATTTCAATAAATTCTTAGGAATCATAAGGCAATGAATGTTTAAGTATCTATTTCTGCCACTAAATGGCTTGGCCACCAGAGGGAAGTATTTGAACAGTGGTAGAACATTCAAAAACAGTACTATTTAATCCTTTAAGTGTTGGAGGCATCCTAAGATGTTTGCCATCTCTTAGAAAAAACAAAATATGTGTGTGTGTGTGTGTGTGTGTGTGTGTGTGTGTGTGTGTGTGTGGCATTTACACCTATGATCTGTGCCAGGGAAGGGAGCTTCGCAGCCTGTACCGGTTTTTAACAAGCAACTGAGAATTAATTGGTTATTAACCACAGGGCTTGGTGACAAAGTGTATATAATGATTAGCTCTGCCAAAAATGTCTGGCATCTGAGGTAATGAGACTCTGTTTATTTTCAAGGCTCACCTGAACATTCTGGGGCTTAGCTATTTGCCTATCACATATAATGCATTTTCTCTAGATATAAATAAAAGTGCCTAATTCATTTATAAAAGTTCATAATTCATTTTATCAACCAATTAACAAATACTGATAAAGCACCTATTTTTTCGAGGAACTGCACTAGGTGCTGGGCATAAAAATACAAAAACATAATAGTTTTTGACCTCAAGGAATTTACATTCTACAGGGAGACGTTACATGTCCACAGAGGAAAAAACAGAATATATACAAAATGAATATATAAATTACCATGCATAAAAATTCATAGTAACTGGGAAAGAGAGACGAGGGAAGGGAAAAGTGCTAACAACTTGTAGAAATCAGGAGATGGCACCTGAGTTAATCTTTAAAGGGAGACAGGTGTTCCAAGAGGTAGAGATAAGGAAAAAATCCAGGCATAGAAAACAATGTGCAGAGTGATAAAGGTGGGAGATGAGATGTTGTACATAGAGTACAGTAAGTAGACCAGTTTGACAGGAGCACAGAGTAAGTGATGAAGAATAATGAGCCTGGAAAAAGTCTGGACTCAAAAGGTGAAAGGCTTTAAATGCCAAACAGTAGATTTTGTATTTTATCCTCAAGGCAATAGAAAAATATTGAAGCTTCTTGAGCAGGGGAGTGATTTATTCAGTGCTTTAGGGGTATCAATTCAGGAGCTGAGTGGAGGATGGACTGGAGAGAGGAGATGATGGAGACAAGAGGACCAATTAGGAAACTATAAGAGTAGTCTCAATAGAGATGATGAGGTCCTGGACTAGGGTGATGGTGGGGTAAAAAGAAGGCAATGTATGCAAGAAAAGTTAAGGAGGGGGAACAGAAAAGACATGGCAACTGATTGGATACAGGAGGTAAGTGAGAGGGGATTACGTAGGGAAAGAAGTGAAAAAGACTCAGAGAAAAGCTTGAAAGACCCAGAGGCAGAGGAGGTAGAGCAAGGGTAACAGTCGTGCAAGGGGGACTAAGAAAGATATGTCAGATAGGGAAAGAAAGCAAGCTCAAGAAAAATCCTACCACTAAGGTGCTTTTTAATGACATGAGGGAAATGAAACAGTTTTACATAATCACAGAAAAGGTGAATTCACCAGGATGAAAGGGAATCTGTTGACTAACTTGAGAGCAATCTGAAGTCTCTGTATGAAGAGGCCATTTCTTCAGTAGAGGCCTCTACAGGTACAAAACTTGGTATCACTTCCTTACTAAGAATCTCAGGGAGGGTGTGGTTTTTGTGATGGGTTAGAAAGGATGAGTGAGTTAATCTCAGTGTCAATTTAGATCCCAGGACACATTGTAAGCAAAAAGCTTATGACCTTTTACTTAACTTGCTAAAATTGACCCTGACCTGTGATGAGATTTGGAGATGGTGTCAGAGAAAGTGTCATTAATTCTGTGGTCCTGTTATTCCTTATGCTGCTCCTTGTCATTTTATATGGGGATAACTTTCATGAATTAGCCCTGATATCACCTCTATTGTATGGATTATACTTTTTAAAGGATCTTTTGTAGCATTTTATGTTTTTATCATTTGTACTACACTCCTCTTTTATGCTAGGCTTCTTCCTGAGGTCAAAAACGCTTTAAAAATCATTTTAGTGGTGGAAGGTTCCTTAGAAAATTTTGGAGCATTGCAATCAAGGGGGGAGGTATAGTAGGAGAAGCATTAATTTTATGTAGACTGGGCTGGTTTTCCTCAAATGGTAAAGGGAGGGTGTTCTTAGATTTTTGGTTGGCCTGATGGATTAGGGCTTGAATCACTGGCTTGGCTCCTTGCTGTTTGAAGGATAAAAGACCCAGCCTATGAGAATGTGGTGCTAAAGAGGTTTGATAGAATTTCTGCTGCCCAGAGGGGACATCTTTCTGGCTTACCTTAGTCACTGCTATGGGGAATATGGAGGCAGAGGAGAGTAACAGTTTATCTTTGCTTATTAACTAAAAATTGAGAAGGCAGCCTGAAATGATGAAAAGTACATTAAATTAAGACTCACTAGACATGCCTTTGAATTTTTGTCTCTACCACTTCTTACTGGCTGAGTGACTTTAAGAAAAGTAATTTCTCTCCTCTGAGCCTCAATTTCCTCAAGCCTAAACTGAGAGGATTGGCCTAGATGATTGCTCATGCACCTTTCAAATCCAAATCTTACGACTGTGACTTTCCCATGGACACCCTGCTCTCCCAATCACAAATCTAGTGTTATTCTCTATAGACACTGCCTCTCAAAGGGCTTTTGCAGTTCTAACATTCTGTGCTTCTGTAAATATAGTGTCTGTGAATGTTTCGGTGAATGCTAGTGTTTAAAGATTCCCTCCCTGGGATACTGTGTCACTCAATTTCTCTCAGTCTCGGTTTGCTTATCTGTAAAATGGGCATAACACAGCCTTATCACAGGATTGTTGTGAGAATCAAATGAGATAATATGTGGAAAGTTCCATGGTAATCTTAAAGAGCAATACAAATGTCATTATTATTATACATTACACCTACCAGTTACTTCTAAGCTTGAATCAATCCCCTGACTTGACTGAAGCTACCCTCTTCTGTTTTCTCCACTCTCCTCTTGATCTCATCAGCGCACATGGATTTCATTACCATGTCCCAGATCTGCATTTCCAATCTTAGTGTCTCTCTTGAGCTCCAGTTCTGTAACACTGGATTCAGACTCAACATGTCCAAAATAGAATTCATTATCTTTCTACCTCAAATCCACCCCTTTTGAATTTTCCTGTTTCTAAGACGCAACCACCATCCTTCCAGTCACCAGGTTCACAATCTCAGTGTCATCCTTAACTACTTACTTTCATTCAACCCTCTGAAATTATTTTCAATTTATTCTGTATATGTTTGTACATAGCTATTTGTGCATCATCTCCCTCCTCAGATTGTGAGCCCCTAGTCAGGGATTGTTTCCATCTTTCTTTGTATCTCCAATACTAACTACGACACTTGGCACATAGCAGGTATTTATTGATTTGACTTGACCCTACATATCCAGTCACTTGCCAAAATTTGTTTTCACTTCCACAACACCTTTCCCCTTCCCCCTCTTCTCTCCACTGACAGCGACCACCCAATTCAGGGCCTCATCGTTTTTCATCTGGTTGCTATTGCAATAGTCTTCTATTTGGACTCTGCCTCAAATCTTTCACTTTTACAATCCGTTCTTCACACTTCACGCTGCAGTGTGGCCATACTGACCTTTTGGCTGATCCTCACACATGGCACTCTACTTCCAGTGGCTGGAATGAACCCCCTTCTCTCTGCTCTTAGAACCCCCATTTTCCCTCAAGTTTCAGCTCATGCTCCATCTTCTACAGACCTTTCGTGAATTCCCTGCCCTATCCCATCACCTTGCATTTATTTTGGAAATATCTACACCCACACAAGTCCTTTCTCTAGACAGACTGTAAGCTCCACGAGAGCAAAGGATTCTTTCACGGGGGTTTTTGTATTCTCAGTGTCAGGTACATAAGAGGAACTTGATAAATTTGCCTGGTTTGATACGGATTCCCCAAGTTTCCGCTCCCAACTCTTATCTCAGTTCTCCACGTGATAGAATTCGCGCAGAGATTCTTCCTACCAGTGTGAGTCAAGCACAGACCAGATCCCGCCCTCTCTTTCTTTCCCGGGTGCACACCTGAGGATCCCACCAATGGAAATGCGGGAATCACGAAAGAAGCCACGCTCTGACTCACCTGAGCTTCCTAATTGCATTGTCGGATACATACACCACCTCGATCTTGTAGTAGTGATGCTTTGAGCTTTCTCAAGTTTTTTCTCTTATAATCCGCACTCTTGTTTCCCACACAACACACCTAACCCCATTTTACAGATAAAGAAACTGATGTTAGAAAGCAATCATTTATTGAGCGCCTGCTACTGTGGTAAGCGCTGGGGAAACAAAAAAGGAAAAGTGATCGATACGACAACTTGCTACGACAGAGAGCGCCCAGAACTCCCGGGAAATGGCGCATGCGCATTGAGGCCACCAGGTTGAGGGGGCCTACTCGTAAGACAAGTAGGCGTAACTTGGAGGGGCGGGCACACGAGAGAGCGCACGCACTCACCTGCTTCCCCCCACGTCGTCACTCCCTCCTCGCCACTACGCCGCTTGGGGCGTGCTGACGCACCGTGCGGCCGAAGGAAAGGGCGGGGAAAGAGGCGGGGCTACAGCACCCCCCCTCCACCCTCGGCCACCCTCCCTTCTTCCCTCCCTCCTCCCCATCCCCTTTCCTCTCCTCCCTCTCCCCCTTCCCTCCCTCCCTCAGTCAGCCCCGTCAGCTCCGGGCAGCGAGCGTCGCGCAGCGTCGCGTCGGCCTGGCCCGACCCGGCCAGCGGGCAGATGTCCCGAGCAGCCACCGTCGCCGGTGCCGCTACCGGTGTGGGAGGCGGGGGTCCGGTCCGGAGGGGCTGCGTGTGAGAGGGGGGGGTGGGTGGGGGTGGGGAAGGGTCCGGGGAAGCAGGGCCGGCGACCCGGCGGCGCAGAGGCGGCGGCGGCAGCGGCAGCGAAACAGCGGGGGCCGGTTCGGGGTGGACCATGTATTTCCTGAGCGGCTGGCCCAAGAGGCTGCTGTGCCCCGTGGGGAGCCCGGCGGAGCCTCCCTTTCACATCCAGACCGACTCCCAGAGAATCTTCTTCGCCGTGCTGGCCCCGGCCCACCTCAGCATCTGGTACAGCCGAGTAAGTCCAGGAGGATACCCCGCCGCCTGCCCGGCTCCCTCCCCTCCCCCATTGTCTCCTCCCCCTTCCCAAATCCCTCCGCGGCTGGGACCCCTGCCCCCGAATTTCTGAGCCCTCCCCTCCTGCTCCTCCTCCGCCTCCCGGGGATCTTCCCTCCACCAACCCCCCCACGCCCGTGCCGTGACATTCCCGAAGCCCACGCATCTTGCCCTCCCCGCGTCGTAATTCTCCCCGCGCACCCCTTGCTGTCATGTACCTGTTTAAAGGAGTCAGGGAAACTCCCCGTTGCGTGTTCCCCTTCCCTGTCTACCTCCTCCAGCCAGGGGATGGAGGCGAGGGGGAGGGGGGCCAGAGAGGACTGTCCTAGGCTGGAGCTTTAAAAAAAAAAAAAAGTGGTGGTTCTTTACAGTCCCTGAGCATGTCCGCTTTTAGGAAGGCTCTTCGGTGCCAACTCAAGTTGCACCCGTGCTTGGGCTCCGTCTCTGTGGTACAGAAAACATTGGCAAAATCCGTCTGAACTTTTTTTTTTTAATTACGGTTTAAAATAAATGTCTGGGGAGCGTACATCCCCAGCTTTGCCCTGCAGTGGAATTGGAGTTGGGTTAGCCTAGATGGATGATGGAATGTCAAATAACAAGCATTTTCTGTCTGGCATAACTTTGGTGACGGAAAATTGTAGCTGATCTTCCCCCCCCCCCTTAAAGGGCTGGTTGATAAATTTGAGAATGTTTGAAGTTCCCTTTTTTTCTGCATCCACTTCTCTCCCCCTCCCCCATATATATTTTTGACCTTTATCCTTGTAGATTCTTTTCCTAGAGGAGAGACGAGTAGGGACCGAGTTACACCAATCATTGTTATATTCCTTAGTACTAAGAATAGACTTTTTTAAGGGAAAAGACTTTATAAAGAAAGGCGATGTTCAAGTTATTTTTCCCATTTGCTGTGAATTTTAATCATGTTTTACTTATAGCTTATTGTCATGGACAAATGAGAGTTAAGTTTGAAAATAAATCGTGCAAGAGATTTTCCTCCCCCAATCTCCCAAGCTGCTATAGGCCCATTTTTTGAAATCTACAGAATGCAGAGTACTAAGAAACGTACCTTCTTTTTGTTTATAAAGAAGGTACTAACCTGTGTTGGGGGTGGTGTTTAGATGTTAAACATTCTTTTTTCTTTCTGAAGATAACTGGACCCTGTGGAGATAGCCTGTAACTTCATGTCATGTGACCATGTGAACCAACTGGCCCAATTAAGTTAATACCAGAAATCCCTCAATGTTACCATCTAAGTGTTTATAATGCCCTTGACTGTCCTCACAGTTGGGATTTTGGTAATGCTGATACATTTCATGATTTGTTACATTAAATATATGTCTGATTAGTTTTTCAATGAAATAACAGGATGAAGAATAGTAAGTTTTTGAGATAGGACTATTCTGAGCTTAATTGTGTTTGTGAATACGTATTTTTTGGGACATTTTGTTTTGATTGAGATACACTAACCAGAGTTTACATTGTAAACATCAGTTTAAGTAGTTATATAGTTCATAGCACTTTGATTAACAGTGATCTTTTGAGCAGGAAGGGAAATTAGAATTTATCCATTCCAATACTCTCATTAAACTCAGGAGGAAACTGAGGCCCAGAGAGGTCAATGACATAGCCAAAGTCACTTAGCTTTGGCACAATGGCAGAACAAATATTTGAAGCAGATTTTTAGACTCAAAATCGAACTCAGCCTCTATATCTTACCAACCATAGGCAGAAATAATAATTTAGATTCAATTTAAAAAACAAACTTTTTGTCTAGAATTTTGCCAGAATATGATATATATTGCTTTTGTAATATCTGGACTACACTAGTTTTGTTTCTTCTTCCTGTTAAAATACATGTCTAATTGACTATTACATAAAACTAATATGAGGAGAGTACTGAACTGAAAGCCACTTTATCACACTCTACAATGGATAACATTCTAAGACTGTGGTCAGGATAATTCATTCCAACAGTACTTTTCATTATATATTTCAATAGTAATGCATAGTTAATTAGTTTGGAAGAAAGGTGCTATATAAACTCAGTAATCTAATACAGGCAAGAAAATAGATCCCTTACAAACAAATCTCAGTCTCCTTCAGTAGTGGAGTCCCCAGATTGCTGCTATGAGAGTCACTGTGAAAAATTTTGAAGATATTATAGACTTTGAGGATTTAAAGTGGAGGAAAAGAAGAAACCAAAAAGTTTAGAAAAGGTGACTTACAGTCAAGTCTTCCAGGTGGCACTGGACAGACTTGCCTGTGTATTTGCCATCTTGCCCCACTGTTCTTTCTTTTCCTTTGTTATGCTGTTTGAAATCATAAAGTAGAGTTTTATTTGGTTTGTATTTTACTTTAATCTGATGGTTTAAAAATCATGGTTTCATTTTACATTTAAATGGGATTTTTTGTATGTATTTGTGCATCATACTTCACTGAGAAAATGAGATCTTTGATTGAAAGGGGAAAGGAGGTAAATAATTATGGAGCAAAAAAGAAAAAAATTGGGGAGGTAGTGGATGGAAGGTATGAAGGGCAGGGTTAGACCTACTTTAACCTCCCAAGTGAGAATCTTACTCGGTAGATTTAAGGCAACTTGAGGTCTGTGGTTAAGGGGATAAGGAGGTATTAAAAAAAGGAGATGGGAGGGTACCAAAGACAAATATGGGCTCTTTGAAATCTAGGCTTGGTTACGCACAGAAAAGAGGTTTCTTTCTCCTTTTTTCCTGGGCCGTATTACTCATTCCTCTCAGGACCCAGAACTTTTGCTAGTACTGTATGTAGTTCAGGTACATCTGCCTTCTTGGACAAGTTGTGAAGCTAACTATGATTTATAATGTTGTTTCTATGGAAGAATTTGTTCTAGGTCAAACCTCATCTGGACCCTCCTTGCTACCTGGAAATCCTATTCTACTTTTACTGACTGCTTCTCTCGTTCCCAACAGCAAATGTTCCAGATCTTTTCCTTATCAGTTCCTCAACCCCTAGATTTATAACAGATGATTTAACCTCCTACTCCCTGAGAAAATTAATCCATCACCTCCTCAGATTATCTCAGTGACATCACTTCTTTCATGTATCAGGGGAATCGTTATCCTTACTTTTTTTCAGAGGCTTGTCCCTCAACCTGTGTTCTTGATCCCAGTTCCTTCCTGTTTTGTTCCTAGGAATCATTTCTTGTGTGTATTCTTCTCTGCTGGCTTTTTTCCCTTTCCCTATAAAAACATATTTAGGTATCCGCGATCCTTCAAAACCTTTCCCTCATCTCTTCTACCCCATCTAAACTATGACTATAGCTGCTCATTCTCTTATCTCATTACTCTTTATGCAGCCATGTTATCAACTTGAACTTTCCTTAGTAGTTTGTAATCTGACAACTTGAGCTGCTGTACAGAAGGTATTTTCACAAAGCTCACCATGATTGCTGTGACTAGTGGCCTTTCTCAGCCGTCATCTGCCTTGACTCTTCTGCAGCATTTGACAGTGGTGATTGCCCCTTTCTTCTTCCTTGGTTTCATGATTATGATTTAGTAAGTACAGTCAAATAATGCACAATAGTGAACAGCTACCACGCTTTCCTTGTTCTGTTACACTTTTGATTGTTCCTTCTTTTTCTTCTTCCTTGTCCATTTCCTAGTGCCTTGTATTCAGTATTCTGCACTTGGCTCTCCTCTCTATAATCTTTCCCTTGGTAATCTTACTTGCATGAGTTCATGGCTTTGGTTAGCACCTCTGTGTAGTTGCCTCTCAAATCTACAGCCCTGACCTCTCTCCTGAGCTCTAGAACTGTGTTTCCAGTCACCTTCAGGAGTTTCCCCTCTGGATGTTCCACTAGTATTTCAAACTCAAAAAATAGAAAATTGAACTTATGATCTCTGTTCCAAAACCTGCGCGGCTTTCTAATTTCATGTTATTTCTGTCATTGGTGTCACCATTTCCCTAGACTCCCATATTTTAAAACATTGATTTTTTTTAATACTTCTTTCTCCCTTTTTCTTCTTATTTGTTATTGAATCTTGTTAGTTTTAACTCCAGTATTACTAAGTCTTGAATTCTCTTCACACTGCCACTATCCTAGCTAGCACAAAGCCTCACTATTACATTGCTTAAACTATTGGAGTAGCTTGTTATGGGCTCCATGTCTCTTTATTGTTTCTCCTATTAATTCTTCATTAGTAGTACCATCAGATTAATTTTACTTATAGTCATGTCATTCTTTCCTGAAAACCCTTCAATGGTACTCTATTGCATACTGAGTAGTTTAATTCCTTATCCTAGCATTCAAGACTTTCCACATTCTTGGATCCTTCTACCTATCTAGCTCTTCTTGTTTTCCCTTCCATATATACTTTATGACCCAACCAAAGTAGACTATGCCATTGCTAAATACCCTTATTTTACAAGCCTCTGTGTCCTTGTTCATGCTGTTCCTTACTTCAATTACTATTTACTATTAAATTCTTCCCATCCAGTCATTTAAAGTCCAGCTTTAAAGTTGTTTAGTCTGTGTTCCCTTAAGTCACTAATGACCTTTCCTCCTTTGAATCTCTTTACTTATATCTCTTGTGGATTTCCATATTATGGTTGCATGCATATGTATTTTTTCCCCAACTTAAGTTCCATTAGATTAGAAGTTATTCAAATCAATTTAGGTATTTATTGAATGCCTACTTTATGC